CTCCCGCCGGAGGCTCTCGGCAGGTAGGGTGCTCTGCGGGGCTCGGGGCCAGACAGCTTCCCCGCAGCATCTCCTTCCCAGGCAGCAGCTCACCGCTCCCGTTTGTCCTCCTCCCCGCAGGGAGCGTGCGGAAGCCTGGCTGAGCTTGGAGAAACCCCCTGGGGCTGGGGGACAACGGAGCCCCCCAGCCTCCGCTATCCTGCCGGCAGCGCAGGGGGGCTCTCAGCAACAGGGACCTGGTGTGGAGCAGGAGCAGAGGAGTTAAAAAGGTTTTCTGCTATGGATTTGGCTTTTCCTCTTCTAAGAGAAGAACATCCAACAAGTGGCATGCCGGGTGGAGCCGTTCGGGCTACGCATGCATTTCCATGAATAAGGAAGGGGAGGCCTTGCAGGGGCAGATCTGGGGTCCTGGCTCCTCAGGCTGATGGGTGTTGTGAAGGAGGAGACACAGGCCAAAGGGAGCAGGGGAAAACGCAACACAAACTCCAGTCTTTTGCCTCAGAAATCTGCCCTCAGGTGGGATGCAGGTTGTGTCTTCCTCTTCTTTGCAGCACAAAACTTTGTTGCTTTAGATCAGAGGAAGAATAGAGCCTCAGGGAGGGGAGGGGAAGGTCTTTGAACCCACGAGAAATTGGGGTCTGTCTGAACTGGGCTTCCAGGCTCCATTGTTTGCAGTGGGATCAAGCTAAGGGTTTTGCTGCCGCAGGGTCAGTGCAAACCCCTTTTGCCTCCCATTGCCCAGCTACGCCGCTGCAGAGGGGTGCGAGGGATGCACGTGTCCATGCTGCGTGGGGTGCTTTGAAGGGAGAGTCAGGAAAGTGATATGAACTCAGCCTGCACCTGGGCTGGGGGGGGACAGGGGGACAGCTGCCCTGAGCTGCCAGGCCAGGGACATGCCTGGGGCAGCAGCTGGCCACGGAGCCAGGGGGACCACTGGGAGCTGACGACATCTAGCCAGACCTCCATGCTGATGGAGGAAGGGTTACTTGGGTGCCAAGGGATCAGTGCAAAGCTTGCTGCTGCCTCAGAGGCACAGAGTTGATAGAGAAAGCAACTGTGGTGGCAGGAAACACCTGCAAAAAAGCTTGGGGAGGGCAGGGGGGAGCAGGAAGCAGGTTCTGCATAAAACCATCCAGCTGCTAGGTTGTCTCTAAAAAGAGAAAATAGAACCATCCCGTTCTGGTTTCTGCTGTACTAAAATCTGATGAGATTCATCCTCTTTCAGAATACCCCCATGGAAAGGTCTGGGCAGCCTCGCAGAGCTCTGCCCATCACCTGCCCTTCATCAATATGCCCAAAACACCCAGCAGGGCCACTGCCCGGGGCCGCTCACAGCGGTGCAGTACAGAAACCACCACACAAGGCTGGTTTTAGCTACCGCCAAGCTGGTCGCCTAGGCACAGCCTCTTTTCTTGCATGTCTGCTCTGCCATTTCTGCAGTATCGCTGCTGACAGGGGCAAAGTCACAGCTGAGCGTAGCCACCCGGCAGCGAGCGCCAGGTTTCAGTTCACCCGCAGTTCAGTGGCTCCCCCCTGCGAGCCCATCGTTGTAATAACACTCAGGTTTAGATATAAGAAAGCAATTGGAAATAGCATGAACTTAAATGGTCCAAGAGCTACAGCATGCCTCTGGGATCGAGGAGCGCAGCGCGGGCAGCGCCAGGGAACGGGACGCTTCTGCTCTGTGCTGCAGCAGGGTCGCTCCGAGCACCCGTGCAGCGCGGCAGACCACGCTCCGCTCCTCCTGCGGCACACGCTGGAGAGGAAGCTGTTTCCCCCCTCCTTAAACACTGGCTTGGGAGAAGCATTTTCCCAGAGAAAAGAGGAAGTGGTGCCTCGCGGCAATAGTAACTCTGATATGCCCAATTGCACCACAGTAACCACCAGGGCAGGTTTTGCAGAGCAAACACTGTTGCCTCAGCTACCCAAGCTGCTTTAAGGAGAGAAGGTTTAAGCCTCAAGAGGGGCTCTCTGAAGGTGCAGGAGGGCTTCATGCAGCCCTCAGCACTCAAGGGAGGGCTCCTCTCTGATGGGAAGGGTTTACTCCTGCCAGATGCATTGAAGCACAGAGGTCTCTGTGTGGCTTTGCCCTGTGCTGGACGCCCCAGGGCTTTGCACTTTGCCAGGCAGGAAAAGCTGTTTTGGAAAGCAATTGCCCAGGTCTCCTGGGTGCAAGCTTGGTGCTCCCCTACTCTGGTGTCTTAGCCCAGGTACCTGCCCCAGTGCCAGCCCTGGAGGAGCAGGGACAGCAGTGTCTCAGGCCCATGTGTGTTTCCTAGTGGATGGGAGGGAAGAGCTGCAAGGAAAGATGCAGGTAGTCCCCAAATCTTGCGCTGGAAGGAGAGCCCCATTCATGGTGGGGGGGGTGGTAAAACATACAGTTTTACCCAATTGCTGCCCAGACAATCCCTCTCCCCTGTATTATAATACTATGCTAGACTCCAGAAGCAGAAGAAAAGGCCCTACCTCCTGCCAAGGGGCCCTTAGGCTGCTCTGATGCTCTTCTCTTGCCAGAAAGCCTGTGATACCACTAGCAAAGAAGCTCCTAATCTGGTTATATTGTCCTATCTGTTCACTGCTTCTTAAATGCTAATGAGAGCTAATTGGGGGCAGCAGGCTACAGCAGTTCATTAGTTGTCCTCCTTGCACCTGAAGGAGTTAACAGGGGGTTAGTGCATAAAACATGGATGAGAAAGAGAGAGGAGGGTGGGATAAGGGTCAGGGCAGTTGCTCCTTGCTGGGAGATGTCTGTGGCTCTGCAGGGCTCACCTGGTGTGTCAGGGAGTTTCCCTGCCTGGCTGTGATGTGCAGAGTGTCTCTAGGGGGGAAAAAAGTCCCTTTGTGTTGCCTGCCCGTTGCCCTGGTCCTGCCCGTTGCCCTGGTCCTGCACGTCAGGCCTGGGGACCTGCGTGGGAGGCACCGCCAGGTATTTCATGTGTGTGTGGTCCTGGCGCAGGCAGGTCCTGGCTCCCGGGGCAGGATGTGCTGCATCTCCCGTGTTTCCGAAGCATGGAAATAAGTGAAGGAAAAGGAGGGTGCAGCTGATAAACCAGCTTATAATGGGACCCAGTTACCTAAAAAATCCAATTAACCCATCCTTCTCCAGAGAAGGGGTATTACTGTCCCCAATAGCAAGTGGGGGATCAGGAGTAACAACATGTGGGTTTTCTTCCCTGTTCGCACACAAAGTTGGTGGCAGAACTGGCACGAGGTTTGTCGTCACCGTGCGCGCGGGGGCAGCGGGGTTTGTTTCCCCTTGGTTCACAGCAACGGCTCAGATCTGCACGTTTTCATCCAACGTTGCAGCAACGCCCACCCGTGCCTGGCAGTACGGTCCCTCGTCTGTGCTAGTGGTGGGGCGGGAATGACTGATCCCGGGGCCGTTTGGGGGCATTTATAGCTTCTGACTAAAAAGAGGAACAATTATGACTCTTGAACAACTGACACAGGACTAACCATAAGTGTTGTACCGCAAACGTGTTCTTCCAGCTGCCTTTTGTTTCAAGAAAGTAGAAACGTTACACTTGGCTTCTTGAATAAAATAGTAATTACAAAAATACTGACATGAAGTTTGTCCAACGCTTAAAAAAATTTTTCCCCTTTTTCTCCCCAAATGAAGCTTTTAAACACGCTCGACTCAAACTCACAAAGAAACGCGTATCCCCCATAGTCCGATTTGCGGAGAAACGAGTTGTCAGGATAAATAAATGGCCCCGTGCTACGGAGGGGCAGAAATAACACACAAGGAGCGGGGCCACGGAGTTTGGCCGGGGTGAGAAAAGACACAGCCCCAGCGCAGCAGCAGGCGGGTTTGGCTGCAGGGAAAAGGAAGGATGACACAGTAGTTCGTGCAGAAACAGCAAACAAGCGTTACTCTTAAACATCCGGGATTGCAGCGCTGCTGGAAGTTTGCCTTTACCCACGATTAAACCGTTAGCTAGATGGCAAAAGGGATACGATACAGCACGGACAAATGCACAGGGTAGGTCAGATCAGATTCTCAGTTTCACTGATAAATAAATGAGTGATATTTTAAACAGCAGAAAGCATTTAATGGGTGCGTAGAAATAACCAGCTAAGGCAGGCGGAGGGTGCTCAGGGCCCTCCCTCCTCTGTCCAAGACCTGAGGGAGCCGTATGGAGGCAAAGCACGGAGATGGTGGTGCTTCCACCGCTGCCTTCACTGGCCGCTGGAAACACCCCGCACTGGGCTCTTCCAAAACCTGCGCGTCTGCTCTCTGGCTTGGGCTACCCAAATGCAAAATTGTTGTTTTCTTTTTTCCTTCCAGCGCCGTTGCTGCATCGGGTGTGAGGTCTCCAAATGCAAAGAGATTATGTCTTCCTTGCCCACCTGCAAGCCTCCA